GTTGGTTGAAATTTAGCGATTTATCACCTGGTCTGGCAACAAGCTGGTTTTGTTTATTAGAGTTGGTTTAAACTTTGATTTGATGTGGCAGCCATCTTGAATCAAGTAGYAAAAAAAAACAGATTTGTGTGAAAACGTATTTTAAGGATGTTGTTGTGCACCTGACCTGAGTCTGGCTCTGCAGGGGTCGCGGTCTTTTTGTCGGGGTGGAACTTGTGAAGGACCGAGTTAAACTCACTCCTGCCACAGCAGAGGCCCAGGAAATCATTTATAAGTAAGTTTAATGGATCATAAATTTGCCTTTGCAAAACAAATGATGATATTAGAGCCTTTGCCTCATGTAAGTCTGATGAAATTTAAAACAAAGCCACAGTCGTCAGACAGAAACGACACTAATTAAGGTTTCCTGCTCCACTTGAGATGAGCAGAGTGATTATTTCTGCTTCTCTTCCTCCACTTTTGCGTTAACTGAGCGGTCCAAATGGTTTTGTCCCAGGCTGAAGGAGCAGCACGTCCTCCTCAGCGCTGATGGACCTCACCGCAACGTGCTGAAGTTCAAACCGCCGCTCTGCTTCACCGCCGAGGACGCCGAGCTGGTGGTGGAGAAGATGGACCACATTCTGACAGGTTGGCTTGATTCAGGCGCTGCAACTTATATTACTGCTCCGTGGTCKTTTGTTTTTCATTTTAAAAACAGTTATTCTATTTTCATTTTATACTCCACGAACAGGAAAATAGTTTGTCCTTTCATTTTTTTTTTCTCAAACAGGAAGTTTAACACTGTTATCAGGCCATTGAAGGTGGAGCTAATTAAAAACTTAAAAAAACAAGAACAGGTGGCTGCCTTTAAAGGGCCTGTGACATCAAAWTTTTCTAATYAATGTGAATGRGRTTTTGGAAAGAGAACATTGATAAGATATTGCAGAACAAATTTCACGCCGTCGAGATGAACAGGTGTTGAGATATTTGCATGTGAAGAAACAGGAAGTGATGTCAAAGGGGAATGTCTGCATGTAAACAGAGCGATGCTACGATTATTACAGAAAAATCTGATGTTTCTGTAGATTATTTTGAGTCACTATCAGAGCTGAAGAAGAGTTTAAACAAGATTGTTTCAACAAACAAAGACTAGAGTTTCTTTTCTTAAAGAGTTCCCCTTTGATGTCACTTCCTGTTTCACTTTGCTGAGCAAAATTCAAGAGAAAATATGCCAGTTATGAGACAAAATGGGTAAAATCATGTGTATTGTGCTGATTTTCTTAGATGTAAATGTTTTCTTTGACTTTTTGTATTTTAAGGATAAGCATGTCACATGTCCTTATGTCTCTGTGAGGAAGTGGAAGCTGCAGCAMGTTCRACAGYACAGCATTGAGGTGCCCTGGATAAACTTCCAGATCAATAAAAAAATAAAAAGTCACTGTTTTTACATTTTTTTGAGTAAAAAATGAAACTAACCAGCTTTCAGTGTCTGTTTTTAAAATGAAAAGTGAATAACCATGAAGCACACGGACCTTTACTGTCTGAAACTTTTATATAAAGAACTGTGTTTTGTGTCTGCAGAGCTGGAGGAGGCACTAAAACTGAATCAAACACTGAACACAGAAACTGAGGGCAGTAAAAGAAAGGTACAACTTGTTTTTACGTGTTTCTCAGCAGCCACTTGAACTTTTCATCAGCTTTAAAAACATTTGATTTTCACCACCTGCAGGTATCSAGTGCTGAAAACGGACATGAAGAGTTGATCCACTCTGATGGACGTCAGCAACTAAAGAAACGCATCAGAACATYAAAACAAGTCGACTGAAACTTCATGAACTTTACAAACACCTGAAACCTTTGACAGTAAAGGGTAAACCCTCCTGCTGTCCAATGTGTACAAYTACTCATGAGCTTTTATTGTGAAAAAACAAATACTTTTAGGGAGCGTAAAGAGATGTGAAGCAACAAAGTTTACAGAACTTAGTTTTTTTTGAGGATCTGTAATCATACCATGTATTTTTTAAAGGAAAACATACTTTACTTCTTTACTTATTTAAAAGTGGTCGAACTCATCATGGAAAGTTTTGCACTTTAAAAAAAAATAAAATGTTTAATTT